AAAATGGGCCCGTACCAGGAAATGAGAGGGAAAACTGGACGTCACGTTTTAGAAACTGATTTCCTTGAAGATCTTTCTTTGCATCTTCTGACGAAATGAGGAAAATCGTAAGACCTAACGTGTGATGTGTTGTCACCAGCAGAGTGCTTTGTATTGTATACATGTACGTCTCCAGATTCCTTTGTATTATTCTATAGAGGATCCCGCAAGTCTGGAACCAAAGATAAAACAGTTGATGGCTGCCTTCTAGGTTGTTGCCTCGTGTATCGGCGTTCTCAATCTGGCGATTAAAGCAGGAAACACCTCTTAAACGTCGGTAAACTTCTACCAGGCTACACGGCATTACAACCATCTAAAGTAAAATACAAAATATAACTCAATGTGGTAGAATTTTGTGGTTTAAGCTCTGTTGCTAGTTGACAAACGATATTAAACCGGTAAGTGGTTTTTGAGGCCGTGCCACTTCGAAGGCCCGGGTTCATGGGCAGGACTGTCCAAGTTCGAATACGCTGTAAACAAAGTGGTACTGAGACAAATATTTACGCCTTATGCGATCTGTTCCTCCATCTTACCAAACGTTTTCATGTTTGGCTCACTCATCGCCCTGGAGATGGATGCAGAAACATCTCTGGAAAGTCGGTCATGGTTTATCAGACTACACGGCGTGCCTAATGACTGGAAAATTACCTCAAATTTCTGCACTTATCCTTTCGTGGCATGGGACAGTTTTGCTTCAAGATAAAATGGGGAGGAGCTACATATTTTGATCCATTTGACAGCACCGTAAAAGTTATCCCGTTAAGAGGCTATGTTGACCGTCAGGGGGAGCTCCTCTGCCCACATCGGGGAATAAACTCCGGGCGTACAGTCCGTAGTCAGTCACTATACTGATTCAACTACCCGGCTCACTTTAACAGAACTACAACTGAGACAAAGTTCTTTACTCTCTTCCGAAAGAATGCAAAATTCTATTTGACGTACTTTGGTTTCACAGAATATCTGTTGGTAAATAGCATTTTAAATCAGTCAAATAGGGGAATTCATTTCGGTTTCAATAATCTGTAATACAAACCGAGTAAACGAAGCAAAACATTATAAATTATGAACATTTAATAAAATGTTTAATGGCAATGTATTACAGATGCTACTACATACTATCGCAAGCTGAATTTCATCTAACAAATTTGATTTAATATTTTATTAAATATTTATTTAAAAATTAATATTTATTCATAAACCAAATACCTTTTCATTACAATCATTAACGCGGGCTGTTAAGTGTACGAAAACAGAATACAGAGGACTTCTATAAAATTGGGGCGATAAGTGGTACATCGCAATTAACAATATTTACAAACTACGTTAAACTTATGATTTAAATTATCGTCAGACATTTAATAAATTTCCAACGTAAAAAAAGAGCTATAGAATTTACCAGTACTACGTATCAATTCTGATTTTAGATAATAACCCTGTTATTATGCATAACAAAATTATTTGAATCTACCGTAACACACACACATATAAATACGTAATGTTAAGATCGTATGTTCATTTAATTAAGTCAAATACTTACCTCTAAACGATGTTCGAAGTAGATCTCTGGAACTGAATAGAAGTCATATCCGTCCATCTTCTTCCCACTGCACGTGCAATACGTCTGAAGGTCAAGTCTGTCCGAATATTATTTCTACCCTCTACTGAGGCGACCTCTCTGTCTCCAAGACGAAAGGGAATTCATTCCGTTGCCATCCATACACATGGAACATCCTCACAGCAGCCGTCTCATGTCTTACCATTGTTGGTCACGTCACTTCACGATCCTCACGCCAGACACAAAGCTTAAATCGTTATATTTAACAGACACCGACACTGGACAAACATTCATGACTCCATTATACAACGAATTAAAATTATCGACCCTAGAACAATCAAGACATATTCCAATCGATCACCTCATTATCGACTGACTATATAGAATTTGTGGCAGAACATTACATTAGATCGATCAAACTATAATCGATTAACAACTAAAAGCCTTGCGTTATTGCTATTAAACAAGACAGGCCTACGTGTAATGTGGTCGGGTGGGCTTAAAAATAATTTGAAATCACTACCGCAACCTAGGAGCAGCAACTGGAACTAGATGCTTATCATTTCGACCGGCCTCAATGCGCATCATGGCAAAGCTGCCGGTTCCGCTGGTGGTAACGTAAATCGCGTGTTATTGCTGTTATTGACGTCGCATAACGGAGGGGAATCACAGAAATAATGGGCCACAAATACAGAAAAGAACATAGATAATCAAGCTCTAAAATACAATTGTTTTATTTAACCATTTACAACTTTAACAACACACAAACATCTTTTAAAAACTTCAATATATTTTTCCTTGTTATTTTAAAATTACTCTGATTTCATTTGCAGTGTAAAACAGTCTTTGGATACGAATAAAAAAATGATTTAATACTAATAAAAGGAATGTTAAAACCGCTGTATATTATTAACAGCATTTTACTTAAAACTTAAAAGTTAATAGAAAACGTTTCCGAATGAGACAAATTCCTATCTTTACAGGAAGAGAATATGAAAATAAATGTTGAAGTACTTAAATGCCAGTATCACATCTAAAATATGTACAAAACATGAAGATGATGTCAAAGTGTTTGGTTGTACGTCTTCGTGGTTCGTTGCACTGAGAGAGCGCGTAATAATCTCTGGTAAATCATCAGAACCCCTTTCAGTCTCCTGATTCTGACAAAGTCGTGTTTCGTGTATTATTTTCTCCCCAAGAAATTAATTTCATTGTAAAAGTGTGCACCGTTTATTCAACACCCACTGGGAATTTCATTCTCTGACCCCAGGAACGTTTCAGAGTTCGTCATGTTTTGGTCCTGAGAACTCATCATGCGAGATAAAGCCATTCTTGTCTTTGTCCTCATGCTGGAAAATCTCTTCAACCAACTTGTCATGGTCTTCCAACATCCTCTTCACTTCTTCACTCTCGGCAACACCTTCCTGATCCGCGGCGACCATCTGCTTCTTCAAGTATTCACTCACCTGAAATACAAAACCTGAATCATGAGACATCAGAAATCGAAAGCTCAGAATTTGAATCTCGCTGTGATTTTTATGCGTTCCTAAACAAAAGAAACTCAAATTATCAAATAATACGAAAGTCATATCTGTTCATAAATTATTATGGACACAGAGCCGAAGCGGTGGAGCCTTCCCACAGTTTCTCACCTCTTCGCGGGAAAGGACGAGGTCTTTGTCGGCATCAATCTCCTTAAACACGTTCACCGGTGGCGGGGTGTCACCAATGTTGATCAGATCCACTTCGAACGTGAGGGTGGCACCTGAAACACAGTCGTTATGTCAGAGGAACAAGGACTTAACTCACAATTGCATTCAGCACAGTACAGGCAATAACCTTGAAGAAAAGGGCAGACATTACATATCTACTATCTACCCGTCTCTCTATATCTACCCATTTATTTATAGTTGTCTGCATAACCACTCTGTTCTTAAGAACTTATCCCCCCCCCCGGGTTCGATTCCCGGCGGTGCCCGAATTTATAACTTGTGTTGGGCAAGGCCGTGGTCTAGGCAACACGGAGTTTTCCTCCGGGGGCTTCCCCGGTTTCTCCGTGGCATCCCAACAATTACTCCATTCACACACAGAAGAAGGCAATGGCAAACCACTTCTGGATCATCTGCCAAGAACGTATATGAACAGGTCCCAGTCCGAGAAAAGGATGGAATGATCCTGTTCATATGGACCTGTCGTCAGACAGAACACTAAATAAAAACACCTTTTCCGTCCATCCACCTAGACATTCATTCGCCTACTCATTTATCTATCGATTAATTCATCCATCTATTCACTAATCGACCCGTTTTCTCTCACATTAACATCAGTGAGTGTCCTGACGTAATTTAACACTGATCAAACGAGTAATAGCGTCAACTCCTCTGTCGGATCAAGAAAGTTAAAAACTGCCAAAGACCACTAGAATTTTACTGCGAACAGATGAATCCTTCTTCCTCTGAACCCTCGAGCACGCAGGGAACAGCCAACATCACTCGTAACCGGTGGTAACATGGAACCACTGACCAATCGAATTAATCAGCAATTTAGTATTTTGAACGTCATTAAAACAACTGTTGAAATAATAAAAATCATTGCGGAAATTTCCGATTAGTGTCCACTGCAGTGTCTGAACGTGTTCAAGTGTTACATGGACTCCGTTTCTATCGCCTGCACACTTGACATGAACGGAACAGCTGTCGACAACTAACGGCATGTTGGAATCTGACGTTGCACTCCAAAAGCTCTGCGATAAAAGTCGTCCTTGCATTGATTCCATGTTCTATTGTTCCTTTCTGCAGCTTTTATGATAACCGAAGAATCATCACTGACAAAACTGAGCATTGGCCATTCAATCAAGCTGCAAGAACGGCTTATAGACCAAGGAAAACATATTTTAGTGTAACGGGACCAGAAAATGTGAGGGTGGTCGAAGCAAATCCACTAAAAATCACGTCAAATACGTAGCAAAATACGATGTGCGATCAGAATGTTTCCAGACTGTGTCAATAGAGGGCGAACCGGAAGTAGGACGAGCTTCTGCCGCTAGGGGGTGCGGCCTACATTCATAGTGAATCAGTGTGCCAGCCGGCATCATCGAATTAGCATTTGTTTCTTAGTTACGGGCTTGGCAGCGGCGCTGGGATCGTTGTGTTCACTCCCAGGGGAACTACTTCGAGGGTGATGGATGAATTTAATACCTAAGATAAGTGTACGGGTTTTTATAGGCGCAGTCTTGAAACTTTCTGATCGCACCTCGTAGAGTATGTAGGATTTCGGATTTTCACGGCGGTGAGAATGAAGATGGCTGTCTTCTGGGTAGAAGTTTACCGACGTTTCAGAGGTTCTTGCTGACCCTATCATCGTCCTGATGGTGGAAGCATTAAGAACCTCTAAAACGTCGGTAAACTCCTACACGGCGCAACGACCCAGAAGACAGTCATCTTCAAAACAGAGTTTGTCAACTGTTGACGGCGATCTGTACCTGGTGGAATAACGCTGCCAGCTCCGCGGTCGCCGTAAGCTAGCAGAGGGGGAATGGTGAGTTTCCTCTTCTCGCCGACACACATGTCCTTGAGCCCTTGGTCCCAGCCCTTGATCACCTGGCCAACACCCAGCTGGAAGGTGAATGGCTGGTCACGGTCATAGCTGAAACAAGGAGACGTAGCACCGTTAACGGACATGCAGCGTCAAGCTCGTAGTGACCGCGCAGAGCCGCGACACGACATCAAAGTCACTGACGGTGCAAACATTAAAAGAACACGAATAGTAACAGTCATTTATCCATTTAAAGACAATTTTTAAGATCACTATGTGATAACCCTCGCCATCTTAATGCTATTAAAGGGTTCTTGGTGTTTCATGTGCGTCGCTTTTCAAACACCAAAGTTCACTGTCCCTTCATTAACACGGAGTGTGTGAAAAGTCGCACATCAAGATGCCACACTACAGGCTGTTAAGAAAGTTTGGCTACTACAAGTTTTCCTGTCATTTTCGACGGGCGATTGTCTAGGAAAGGCATAATAACAGACCAAGGATACCTAAGTCACTACAGTAACCAAGGTACGAACTGGTCAACCAGTTTGATTCCCGGAAGGGCAGGATTTTTAAAAAATCTAAAAAAACTGCATCCTGTTGTGTATTTAAGCCAGTAACAAGATTATAAGAATAAAAATCTACACAGATTTTATTATATATATATTTGCTCTCTACTGCATGTTTCGACCTAACCAGGCCATCTTTGAGTGTAAGTTTATTTAGAATGTTGTTCTTTGAGGCAGAATGCCCAGCGGCAACCCCACGAAGATTGGGGTGAAAAACAGGTAAAGAAGAAATCTGGCGTTCTGGTCTGTTCTGACTGAGAAGGAACTAAGAATACTTGTAAAATTGTTAGGACTTACTGAACTGGAAATCCTGCTACCACAAAGCTAACAGAGGACGACACAATAATGAAACATTCAAACATACAGCAATGCCTCAAGATGGATTCGAACCCGTGAATACACACTTCGACAACCCAAGATCACATGTAAACCAGATGGCACAGCCATTGTGATCGACCATCTGTAATATGAAGGCCTGTACTGACAGACAAATAGAACAGACGCGCACTCTGTAATCCAGTACAGTAACCAACAGACCTGGAGGATAAGATGGGAGGGGCGTGTAGCACGCACTGGAAATACGATAAATGCATACATAATTTTGATCGAAAAATCTGAAGGGAACTGAGGCCACATCGGAGCCCTTGGCGCAGAGAGGAGGATAATATTAAAATTGGCCTTAGTGAGATACGGTGTGACGAGGAGTAGGTACAGGTGGCAGGATTTTGTGAACACGACAATGAACACTTCTGTTCCGTAAAATATGGGGGATTTCTAGAGAAGATAATCAACTATTAGCGCCCTAATGAGAAATCTTATCTACGGACTGGGTCAGTTTCTTTTTGTTCACGCGAAGCAACAAACTCCAGTGCCTTGGCATTCTTGTGGACACACAGTTTTACTGTAGCCACAGCACGGCCTATCAAGTTCCTAGTTTAGAAAAATGAGGACATTCAGAGAATTTAAAATTATTGCGTTGGGAATACGCTCAGGATTGTTGTCGCCGGGGTGGAAGGGCCCGCGTGTGTGCCAAGTTTAAAAGAAGTCGGAAGGGAAGGCTTCACCAACAGCCATCACGCAGAAACTAAAATATTCAACAGTGCACTGCAGCAGACGGCTCCCTCGGAGGGGGCGAAGGGTAAAGAAGACTTGTTGAGAGAAGATGCCGTTTCCCGCGACCTACTTACAGCAACCCGCTCTGCACTGGCCACTTACTTTCACTGCATCGTGAAGACTCCTCAGAAACGCGTAGGCGAAGGTCACAGACCTGTTACAACAAGGAATCAGCGATTCAGCTGGCCAAGATCTTCTAAGTGGCTGTTCACTTGAGGTTTTAATGCAGTCATTTTCCCGTGCGTGCTACATGCCCTGCCCAAAACATAATTATTTCATCACTCTAAAATATTGGTTTTACGCAGCCAGTACGAAGACGGCTGTCATCTGGCTATGTTGCGCCGTGACCGACGTTTCAGACATGCTTACTGCCTCGTTTAAAATTTTGATCTTTTAAAGGCGTGAGTGTAGTCATAACTGTTCTTCTCGTATGATTCTACGTTATCTCTCTAGTTTATGCAGAATAATCAGACACACAAAACAGATTTACGAAATTTTTAAAAATTTTAAAATTCTTATTAATGTTTAATCTCTTTCCATTTAAACAATTATAACAACAGCACGTTGCTATACGAACTGGACGTCGGTCTATATAAAGGCGATTCCATAACACAAGAAAGAAGACATGACGAACAGAGCTAGGCTTCACTTCTGTGTTTCAATATGGCAAATGACGTCACATTCAATTAGGATCGCCATCTGATGAAGAACAAATTGTATTCAACGTTTCAACATCGGCGTCAGAAAACATTTATGAAATGAGGCCACATTACAGCAGATGACAGACTATCAAAACTGTGAACAGCTCCATTTTAAACACTTGCAGTTATTTTAAAAGCCAAACTTAAAAAAAAAAGGACGTGCGCATGTCAAAGTGGACAACAGCTATCACCCGCGTCCAATGTTGAAAGTTATCGTTTCGGCATACATCGCAGGTGCCATCTTCAGCAAGCTCTTCCGCTCCGCAAATCAGATTCGTCACAACCCACTCGCCGCCTACTGCGTGTCCTATATAATGCTTCCAAAAAACGCCCGACCAATTCATATTCATCCGGAAGATGGCAGCAGCAATGTATGACGAAACGCTGGATAACTTTCAACATTCGACGACGCAGACAATCCTTCCGAAGCTGAGCTCAGGCTGCGACAGAATTGCAGCAAACGTCTTTGTAGAACGTAGCATCACATTGAAAGGAGCACAAGACACGTACTTCGAGGAAATGAAAGTAAGAAGCGAGCCATGCCAAGGCAGAGAAAGTTGGACACACGAGGAGTCTGCCTAGCTTCATGGCGCACAAGAAAGTTTCAAGTGGTTCCTTTACACGGGTGTGTGCCAACCGCGGCCAAGCAGAGAAATCGGTGCCCCACAAAGCAAGCCAGCAGCCGTGACCTCATCTGAAGAAGACGGTCCGGTCCGGGAGTTCAATTAAAAACATTCATTTAAGGTTTATAGCTGCGACTGTAATTTCAGTAGTCGTCCGATACATGAAACGACATTCAGATGGAGCGACTGACTGGTGTCGAATTAAATGGAAATATACGATATTTGAGGTTCTCAAGGCGGCGAGAATGAAGATGGCTGTCTTGTGTGTTTTAGGGCAGTGTAATCTTCAGATATGTTTCCTGCCTCCATCATCGAAGATCGAGACCGCTTCAAAGATAATGACACACAGGTCTAATAAAAATGGAGGAACGTAGATGCGCCTGGTAAAGGCAGGCAGAGCGCTTCACACATAAATCTAACAAGATTATCGAGATTAAATACGTGTGGTGGTACTTTGTCTCTACACCCATCAGAGCGCGATACTTAGGCAAAGAAATCTTGTTTTCCTTTAGTTTTTACAGCTTTTGACACACGCGGGCCTCACACAGCATTAATAAAGCCAATCGAACCTGCGGGAATGTCACATTTTCAGGACTTCAATACAAAATCTAAAAATATTTGTGAACTTTCAAGTTCTTTTCACACTCTTGTTAATATTAGGATTACATTAACTGTTTTAAATTTTACACGATATAAAAATTAACTCGGCTCAGATTAAAAGTTTCATTTAATTATATAATACGTAATTAGTTGTCCAATTCGTGAAGCCTGAGACTTTTCCTTCCGCTGATTATAAAATCCGAGTTAAATCTGCAAATTATAAAATAAAATATAGGCGTACACAGTCTATGAGTTTGAAATTCTCCTCAATAATTCGTCTTCATATAAATTCATTTCCAGTTTCTGCCCCCCCTCTTTGAAGCAGTGTCTGAATTTCACAGCCACACAAAACTACGAAATTATAAGAAAGCCAACAAGATCATCGTGAGACTAATATGTCGAACTTAACCTCAAAACGAGGGTCGTTAACCCTTTGAAGCCGAAGATCGTCTGAATATTATTTATGAATTCAGTCCGTACCGCGAAGAAAACACTACACCTCACCATTACGAAAATCAGCTGGTTAACCCTTTGAAGCCGAAGATCGTCTGAATATTATTTATGAATTCAGTCCGTACCGCGAAGAAAACACTTCACTTAACCATTAGAAGTCGAATCAGGCGGTACCACATAAGATTTAACAAAAGAACATCCCGGTCGAAGCCTTAAGTTCAAAAGCTGCGTCATCTCCTTTTCCATAATGATAAGACAAATCACACGGAACGTATAAATACAGCATGAAGTGCTGCTAAACGTTGAAGCAGGTGGTACATATAATTACCATTGGGTTCTAAATTTAAAGGGCTGAAGCCAGTAGGCTGGAAAGGCCCCGTGTCCCCGTCCGTTCTGCCATTAGCAGCGGCCTGCTTCCCGAGTTTCGCCATCCAACTCACGTCGATCCAAGAACGAAAGTTCTTTGCGTCACGTAATTTGGAAATACCGCCACAAGTTAGAAACCAATTAGGGGAATCTGTTGGAACACACGTAGCGATCAGCATAAAAGATGCATGGGAAAGTGTGCCGTGCAAAGTACACGGGTTATCGATTGCCCTACGCTTTACCATGAATTTACCCAGTCTCTCCCACGGGAATGCCAGGTTTACCAACTTAACACGTGTTGTTACTGCCTCCTTTCGAATCCTTATTTAAAATTCCTGATCATGTTCTCGTCTCGTTTACGGCAATGTACAGCTGAAGATATAATTTATGAATCAAAAAGGCTTTTGTTCACGAAAAAACCAGCGTTTCTGAAATATTTCTGTTACTATACGCTCGACCGCCACGGTGGTCTAGCGGTTAGAACGCTGGCCTTGTAATCCTGGGGTCTCGGGTTCGATTCCCGGCGGTGCCCGAATTTATAACTTGTGTTGGGCAAGGCCGTGGTCTAGGCAACGCGGAGTTTTCCTCCGTGGCATCCCAACAATTACTCCATTCACACACAGAAGAAGGCAATGGCAAACCACTTCTGGATCATCTGCCAAGAACGTATATGAACAGGTCCCAGTCCG